ACTCTGTACTTGCAACCCAATAAGTTATGCAAATCATGTTTGGGCTTGTTTAGAAGATGGCACTGGTCACATTCCATATATAACAAAAATTAGGTTTAATTATTATTCTGTGGGGAAATATTCATTTTTTTTTATCTTTTGGATATGATACTGGAACAAGGCTAATGTCCATTAACATATAAAAGAAATTGACTCATCAATTAAGAGTTAGATGCCATATGCCTGAAGCCAGACCTTCAGGCTTTTTAAGTGTAGAATCTCACACCTTGCAGGGCATTTGATTAATCACAGGATACATGTTTGCCATTTCACATTCCTATGCAATTTTACATTACCCCTTCTGTCATCTGACCTCTGTGGGGGGGTCCCAGCTTCAAAGAGGGATTAAGGCTATAAACCTTCCATACAATCAAATTAACCCCTTTTTGACATTGACAATGCCACCTCTACCAGGCAGGCAGATCACCTATGCACTACACAAGTTACATCACAGGATAATATTCCATAATGTAATAATGAATTATGCACCCTTGCCGTGACAAATACGATGCCCTTGAAACAAAGGGATAACTGTGGAGCGGTCCCAATATTCCACTGGGTAGCCCACATTTGGGCACACGTTTCGGATAGACAGTCCCAGGTTTCCCAGAAATGTCAAGGCTTTTCCCATCGAGGCTATAACGTGAGAAGTCCCAACGTGAGTTACCACCAGTGAGCCGTTCACACCCCACCTGTAGGCCATTCCTGCAGAGTGTAATTGGGCAGTGACAGGGTTATAGGATTTTTGCAGGAGAAGGGTAGTCCTCGTGAGATCCTGGTAAAAGGTAAGTGTAGAAGTCACAAAAGTCGGGCATTTTGTCCTTTAGTGCCAACATTATTTGAGTCTTATCTTGTAGTGTAATGCATCTGAGTATTACATTTTGGACCACAGTGGCCTTGAGTTGAGTGTAAGTGGAGAGACGGTAAACTCCATTGATGGCTATCTTCTTTGCCACAGTGTGACGTAAAATGGTGGTCAGGAGCTTTTCGATGTAATGCGGTAGCTCCTCTGCCAAAATCACAGTGGGGATGCCCTGAATCTTGATGTGAGTGTGCCGTTGTCAATCCTCCATGGCCAATAGTCTAAGCAACAAATTCCACTGGTGATTCTGGATTTGCTACATTGAACCGTCCAAGTTAGACACCCGGGTCTGCACATCTACAATATCCTCTGCGGTAACCCTCACTCGCTCTGTGACTGCCTGCACCTCCATTTTAATAAAGGTCGAGTCAGCCAACAGCAATTTGTGTGTATCAGCCAGCAGGACCTTCAAGTCTTGCTTGGTGGTTGGGGATGAGTCATCTCAAGACTTGGCATTATTTTTTTAAATGATAACCTACATAATGCAGAAAAATGCAGGGAATTTTTTTTATCCCAGATCTGCTGCTTTTGGGGGTCTTTGGATATTTTGCAAAGACCACCAAAAGTGACATATCCAGTTAGGGTCTGCATTGACCTGACGCTCTCTCTCAAAGCTGCTACAAACCTCTTCCAGCACCCTTCTTTGGCTACTGGTGCATTAATGGTAGTGGAGTAATAAATTAAATAAAACTGCCATACAGTTTCAATTTGTTACAGAAGCTTCCATGCCATGGCCTTTTTGAGAGGCTTAAAGGCCAGCCTCTTACCCACAGACTATGCACCTGGTCCCAGGAGTCACTGAAAGAGGTGTGTGACAGCAGCAGGCAAAGTACAAAATATTCATTGTTACTGGAGAACTCTGCAGAGCCCTCTTCTGGCTGAATGGAAGTGTGTACGTTTACACAATGCAGGTATGTAAATGAGGGCAACCAAATACGTGGTTAAATGCATATATTGTTGTTTTTATAGCTAATGTTCTATGTATTTGTATTTTAAATGTTTGTCGCCACATGCTTAAGGACTAGTTCCCAAAGGCCTTGTCTAAAATAAAGAATGGTATGTTCTTTTTGGAACTGTGTGTCCTGTGGGGATTTGTAGAGATCAGAATGACAGAGTCTTCGGTCGGATCTGTTGGCCGGCTACATGATCCATCTAGTCAGTGGGCAAAAGGAAAGCTAACCTGAGAGTCACAAGTGTCTTTAAAGACAGGAGCTATCACATTAGAGGCAGAGGTGCAGGACTGCAGAGGAATAGGCAGATGGGACCAGGGCCGGACTGGCCCACCGGGATACCGGGAAATTTCCCGGTGGGCCGCGGCACCTGGGGGGGCTGCATGTAGAGAGGGAGCCCTGCTCCACTATTTTAATAATATTGCAGCCGCTGGCCGGTCCGGCGGCACACTCTGAGGTGATTACTCACCTTGCGGCCGGCGGCCCCATCTCCTGTGTTGACAGCTGGCAGTATCAGTGAGTGTGCCGGGCGGCCGCGATCCAGTGGCA